TTTGAAATTTGTTTAGCGAGAGAGTGAGTCTGTGTGTCTGTCAGTCAGTGAGTGTTTCTGTCAGTGTGTGTGTGTGTCTGTCAGTATGTGTGTGTGTCTGGCAGTATGTATGTGTGTCTGTCAGTGAATGAGTGTGTGTCTGTTGGCGTATGTGTGTGTGTCTGTCAGTAAGTGTATGTGTCTGGCAGTATGTGTGTGTGTGTGTCTGTCAGTGAATGTGTGTCTGTCAGTGTGTGTATGACTTTTGGTGAGTGGGTGTCTCAGAATTTCTTTATCAGTGAAAGTATGTGTTGGTTAAATGGTGAGTGTGTGCCAATGACTGTCTATCTGTCAGTGAGTGTGTGTCAGTGCATGTATTAGTGAGGGTGTGTTTCTGTCAGTCAAAGTGTGAGTTGGTCTTAAATAGGAAGGGGTTGCGGCCTTGACATGAAAGAGTGGGGCAAATTTAAATTAGGGGGTACCCGAGTTTAGTGCCTAGGGCAACACAAAACCAAAATACACCACTGGACAGATTCCTCACTACAGCCTGATCTGTCCTCGCTAAAGTAATCAAGACTGATGACTTTTGTCCCAAATGAGAAGCACTGCAGACATATTGTGCATATGCGGCTGTCTTGATAAACCAATACAATGTATCTCTATACAAAGCATTGGGCTTATCATAGGAAAGCACTGGATGCACACTCAGGTCCAAGCATTAGCATGTTTACATGCAAATGATGGACATAAAACAGATTCAGTTATTGAATCTATTTTATTTAGAAACCCCTAGTGGGTGTCTGAATGATAGCCACTGGGGCATGGGGACTGCAAAAATAAATGAGTGCTATATCTCAGAAACTGAGCATTTTTTAAAATCCAAAGCTGCGGGGACATGATCTTTGCCACCAAATCAAGAGAGTGTTCTGAAAATTAGCTATGATGACCACAAGAGGGCAGTGTAAGCTTTGATATATTTGTTACTGAACTGTTTGGCTTTTTAGACCACACATAAAACATTTTATGTCTGAAGTTTATGTGATTAGAGAATAATAAGGCTCTTGCCATACAAGACGAGTTTTAAAATAGTGTTACAAATATTTAAAAATAAAGTGCTGAGTGAATTGAAAAGTGATAAATACAGAGCTAAATAGAACTACTCATAGTATCTGGCAATACATTGAAGTAAACTTAAAATAAACATTAAGGTTTTTGAAATTTATCATCAAATCTAAATCCATTAATATCAGATAAATGCTCTATTTTGTAGTGCTGTGCAACTAATGCATATGTGATATTGATATTAATTATTAAACCCCTTACTGCCAACTGATTCTTGTTTAGAAAAACAAACAAAAATAAACAAACAAAAAAACAACATTGCATTTATTTCAAACCTTGGATATATATATAAGCTATAAAATTGCAGCAAAACAGCAATTTTGTGCAAAGGCTATTATTCAGTAATACATGAAGTATTTCATATTTCTTTAGTTTATTTGTGAAGGGACACTAGATTCTATAAGAACTTTGTCTCATTGAGGTGGTCTATGGAGTATTCTGGCACCATCCTACTATGCAGTACCTTTTTTTAATGGTTAAACACTAATCTAAAGGTGTCACGTATTCATCCGCTTATAGAAATGTGGTTAATGACATTTACTGTCCACACAGGAAAAGTTGTGCCGAGCAGCAACCTAATCCACAGAAGGGTTAATGCTGAGCAGCAATTATGCAAATGAAACCTGGTAACTGACTTTGGGGTCAAAGGCCGGTTACAGCCTATCAGAACTAAAGGAGGGGTATTTAGGCCCAGTTCTCAGCCTGCTCAGTGCCCTGTCGTGGTTTCCCTTGTGGTTGTCTGAGAGCGCGTTCCTGTTTATAGTTTTCTACCTGGTTTTTGACTTTGGCTTTGTTTATTGACTTCTCTATATTCTGGTATCCTGACTCCTGGCTTTCCTCATCGCTGTGTCCCTTTCTGTGTTCCCTGACCTCGGCTAGTATTTTTGACTATTCTTTGTACGTTAAATCCGGCCATTCTAAGGACCGGTAATACGTTACTTATTTGTCATCCATGCTGTACAGTTCTACGTGCTGGATCAAACAGTAATCCTGACATTACGACATGGCCATAGATCCTGTAGAACTGTGTCAGCACATAGCTGCTTGCGAGAGGAAATTAGAGGAGAATGATCACCGCATGGATCAATTCACTCAGGCTTTAAGTACGCTTCTCGCTAGAATGGAGCATCTACAGCCTGCAGCGTCTCCTCCTATAGCACCTCTACCCTGTGTACCTCCACCCACTGTTAATAGGACTCCTAGCATCTCCTTATCACCATCCCTACAGTTTGATGGCAATATCCAGGAATGCAGGGGTTTTCTTAATCAGATGGAGTACCATTTTGAGGCCTCACCAGGGTCATTCCCCATGGACAGAGCAAGAATTGGTTATCTAATGAATCAATTAAAGGTCAAGGCCCTTGCCTGGGCTAATCCGTTGTGGGAGAGTAATCGGAGCATAGCTCACAATTACCAGGAATTCCTTGCCGAATTCAAGCTCACGTTTGAGCCATTGGGTAGAGAGGATGACGCCTCCACTGCCCTAATGCACATCAGACAAGGTAACCGGTCTATCTCGGATTATGCTATTGAATTCCGTACCTTAGCTTCCGAGGTAGACTGGACTAACAATGGGTTAATCTCAGCATTCAAAAAGGGTCTCTCAGAGACTATACTAGATGAGATAGCCGCCAAAGAATCATTCCTTAAGAGCTCCCAACTTAATTTATTACGTTTGTCATGCATATTGATATTAGGTTAAGACTCAGAGAAGTCACCAGAAGCAAGACCAGACGTACGGCTATGTCCCTAGCACCTCAATTCTCTAAACCTGCTTTGTCTAACCTCCCTGTACAGTCCGAACCCGAACCTATGCAGTTGGGGGTCACTAGACTGTCAGAGGCCGAAAAACAGTATAGGAGAAGGGAGGGGTTATGGCTATATTGCGGTAGAAAGGGACATATGACAACTAATTGTCCAGTGCGTCCGGAAAACTTCCGCACCTAAGAACCTTAAGAGGACAGATCTTAGGTGTGATGGAGTTGTCCTCTAACAAAAACAAAAGTAGATTCCTCCTTGAGGTATCTATTTCCCTTGATAACAAGAAGTTTTCTTGCAGTGCCCTAATGGACTCAGGTGCTGCTGAAAATTTTATTGATGTCCAGTTTATTAGGGGTAATGAGATACCGGTCAGGGAGAGACCTACGCCGCTAGCTGTAGAGGCTATTGATGGTAGACCACTCACACAACCGCTTATAACCCACGAAACTGTCCCTATTACGATTTCCATTGGGGCCTCCCATAGGGAGGAGATGACGTTTCAGGGTATTACTTCTCCATCATGTCCTATCATATTAGGGTTTCCGTGGCTGAGTAAGCACAATCCCTATATAGACTGGGCTAATGGGGAGATATTAGAATGGGGTAAAGAGTGTATGGGGAGATGTATAAAACCAATACTAAAGAGATTGGATACTATTGACCTTCCCACTACCACTCCCCAAACTCCTGGAGTTCCCATACAATACCGAGAACTTCAGGAGGTGTTTAACAAGGCTCAATCCGATGTATTGTCTCCCCACAGAGCATATGACTGTGCCATTAACCTGTTTCCAAGCGCTATGCCACCTAAGGGGGCAGTTTATGCCTTATCTCCCCAGGAGAGTAAAAAAATGGAGGAATACATCAAAGAATCCTTGAGCAAAGGGCACATAAGAAAGTCATCCTCACCAGCTGGTGCAGGATTCTTTTTTGTTGAGAAAAAGGGTGGTGAGTTACGCCCTTGCATGGACTACAGGGCACTTAATAAAATCACTGTAAAAAATGCATACCCTATCCCCAGGGCCATCTATAATATGATTAGGACCCTGGGCAATGCATTTTCTTGGGTCCCATGGGCCCTGTCCCTGCCACTGCCTCAGCCCCCAATTACGTCCAACCCGCAATCACACTGACAGACGTACTGGCACATACACACACAGACAGACATTAAAACATTCACAGATACATACTGACACACAAAGTCACTACACACAAATATATACTGGCAGACATACTGACACACACACAGACATACATACACAGACACATACATTAACAGATATACTGACACACACAAACACATACACTGACAGATATACTAAAACACACAGACACATACACTGACAGACACATTGACACACACACACAGGCATACTGACATATACACAGACAGACGTAATGGCTAATACAGACAGACATTAAACATTCACAGATATATACTGACACACACATACACTGACATACAAATATATCCTGGCAGACATACTGACACACACACAGACATACATACACACAGACACATACACTGACAGACATACTGACTGACACACACATACACACACAGACATACACACACAGACACATGCTGACACACAAAGACATGCTGACACACAAAGACATGCTGACACACAAAGACATGCTGACACACACATACAGACATACTGACATACACACAGACAGACGTACTGGCACATACACACAGACAGACATTAAAACATTCACAGATACATACTGACACACACATACACTGACACACAAATATATCCTGGCAGACATGCTGACACACACACACACACACACACACACACACACAGATATACCTACATACACACACACAGACATACTGGCATACACACAGACATACTGACACACACACACACACTGACATACACACACAGACATACTGGCATACACACACACACACATACTGGCATACACACACAGACATACTGGCATACACACACAGACATACTGACACACACACATACACACACAGACATACTGGCATACACACAGACATACTGGCATACACACACACAGACATACTGACACACACACACACACTGAAACACACACAGACATACTGGCATACACACAGACATACTGGCACACACACAGACATACTGGCACACACACACACACAGACATACTGGCATACACACAGACATACTGGCATACACACACAGACATACTGACACACACACACACTGACATACTGGCATACACACACAGACATACACACACACACAGACCTACTGACATACATTTAGCCACCCTCCAGGTTCTTACCTTTTCCTGGAGGGTGGTTTCCCTGGTCCAGTGGCAGGCTGAGGCAGATGGGAGTTCTCCTCTGGAACTCCCCTCCTCCCTGCCTTCCTCCTCCCGCGCGGCTATCTCCGGTGGGAGGAAGTGACGTCACTTCCTCCCAGCCAGCAGCAGAACCCGAAGAGGGGCCCGGTCGCGCTGTTTAAGCGCCACAGCGCCCGACCGGGCCCCTGCTGACACATGCTCCCCGGGTGGCCCTTAGTGCATGGGCCACCCGGGGAGCCTCCTCAGTGTGCGGGAGCCGCACCGCAGGGCCTGCGCAAATCGCGGGGCCCACAGAGCAGCTGCTCTGGGCCCCCCAGGAGCAAATGGGCCCGGGGCAGCTGCCACGTTTGCCCCGCGTTAAAGACGGCCCTGAGCCCTAGCCACACCTCCCTGTATGTGATTGACACAGAATTCCTAAACACTTCCTGTAAAGAGAGATCTGAGAGATAAGAAAAACGGGATGCACTCACAGGTCTTCATCAAAGTGAAAAAATGGTGCTTTATTAATCCATTAGGTGTATACAAAAATTGATTGACGTTTTGACCCTGGTGGGTCTTTTTCAAGATCATTGAAAACAAATAAATGTGCTTATATACAAAATGTAAAGGGTAACACTTACCAAACAGTGAAGTGGAGTGGAGTGTCTCTGCTCGTTACAACCCGGAAGTGAGTGGGAGCCTCCAGTGACGTCACGTGATCCAGACGCACGGCGGAATGATGTGGTTACCATAGTGACAGTAAACAAACAAAGTACCGATCGGGTACAAGAAGAACACTATAGAGGGGAACTATCAATATGCTATACTTAAGGAAAATAGTGGCAGTTAATGCCAAAGTATGAGTAGACCAAGGAACCAATAAATAAAAAGTGCAGCCCATATAGAGTGAAATAGTGCAGCTTAAGTGTAGTGACTAAAACATGTGAAGGCTACTCAAAAGTGCATAAAGCCTATTAGAAAAGATAGTGTTAAAAACATTTCAAGGTCGCAAAAAATTCATGCAAAATACAAGATATAGTAACAATCATCAATTTACAGAAAAAATTGATCATAGACAAGACGTAATACTAATATGGGTTGCTGAATGCTTATCACGACAATTAGATAATAGAACAAATAATATATATTAAACAAAGACATTGTGTGATCAACAGACCTATATTGCCACAAAAAAAGGCAACCTGTGAACTATAGCGTATGATTACTGCATATATCTAATATGTGTTGAATGCTAAAGTACAAAAATTCTCAATAATGAGAAAGTTCTCAGTAGTGAAAAAAAGGGGCAACATGGGGGCTGAAACAGTGTATTAAGGGCACAGCCACATATTAATAGTATATGCAGATAACCTCATACTAAAGGACAAAATGGCATCATGAGCATTAGATAAGGCCTGATCATAATATGAGTTGCTAAATGCTAATCGCAACAGTAAAACAGATAATGTATATTAAACAGAAACATTGTGTAACTAACAGACCTATATTGCCACAGAAAAGACAAGTTATCAACTGATTATTGCATACATCCAATATGAGTTGAATGCTAAAGAACAAATATTCTAAGTAATGAGAAAGTTCTCAATAGTCAAAAAAAGGGACAACATGGGGGCCGAGACAACTTATTAAAGGCATAGCCTCATATTAACAGTGTATGCGGATAGCCTCACACTGTAGGACAAATTAGCATAATGAGCATTAAATATAATAATCAGAAAATACTACAAGTGTAATTATTGCTCAATATAGAAAAAAGAAAAGAAAAAACGAAAAAGAGGACCAGAAGAATGCGTAACTTAAGCATTTGAATGATGCATACACCCAAAAAATTGAGCTATTATAGATATACCTTGAAGGATAACACACTATACATCGCGATGTGTTTACAAAAACATAGAATACACAATGTTTTCATTTAAGCCTTTAGGGGTTACAGTATCCAAATAGTGGATCCAGTAAGCCTCTCTCTGTAAGATAATTTTAGATCTGTCTCCCCCTCGATCCAAAGGAGGAACATGATCAATGCCAATAAATTTGAGCATAGACAAAAAATGTTTGGCCACTGGTTTTTCTGTTGCTTGGTCACGATATGCAGTCATTATCCCAGAGCTGTGAACTCTAATCCTGTCGCGTACGGTAAGGTCTGTCTTCCCGACATATGCCAATCCACAAGGACATGTCACCATATAGATGACATGATCTGTGGTGCATGTGACATAATGATTAATAGGTATGCGTTTTCCAGTGTGGGGATGAGCAAATGAACTGCTTGACAGCATGTGGCTACAAGTCACACATCCAGTGCATTTAAAGCACCCTTTTTTTTAATCAATGTTTTTTTCTTATAGCATTGTGTGGGATCATTGCGAACTAATAGATCTCTGAGATTACGATTTCTTTTATAACTAATCATAGGACGTTGTTGAAAAATAGGAGGAAGGTTGTTGTCAGCCTGTATAATGTCCCAGTGTTTTTGTATAGTACTCTTTATTTTCACTGTTCCTGTATGATAGGTCATGGGGAGAAATAAATGTGTATTTTTTGGCTTTGGCAACTCCTACTGGCTGTAAATCCATTATATGTGGGGCATAGCCTCTATTTAGAAATCATTGTTTTAAAAAAAAAAAAAAAATTGTACCAACAAGCCTATTCCATGGGCATAGACTTTATAATCTAAATGTTTATAGTTTTTCTTTTTCTTTAATTTCCTACATTATGCAGTTCTGTGTTCCTTTATCTACTCCTCAGCTACTTGTTTTCTGTTTCAAACGGTCACAGTATTCTAATAGCCATACTATCATCAGACTGTGTGCCGACATTCCTTTTCCCAAATAAAAAAGATGGTAATTTACAAACTGTCTTGTTTTAAAATGTGAAGTTGCATGTTTTTTTTTTTTTACATCAGAAATTGGTACTTAATTTGTATTTTCTTAGTCTTAAAGTGCTCATATCAAATACCAAATCATCATTTGCTTTTCCTATTTCTTTTTTATTTGTTATTATTTTGAAAAACACACAAATGAGGGAACAGAAAGGAATAAGGGGGAACTAATTTGTCGTACCACCCAGGGTATACATTAACAAACCATATGAATGTAATGTGAATCTCATTATGTCAAGCAGTCAAATACTTAAGTAAAGTGTCCCCACCTCCTAAGTGGATCTCACTGCTCTACAATGTAACCTATAACACCTGTATCATCAATAATAAATATCTGGTACAAAAGGAAAAAAAAGGGGGGATGATGGAGGGGGGTGAGGGGGGAGGGTCTGCCTATTACATTTTCTACGAGTATGTCATTTAACCTCTAGAGTCTGATCTAAAACCAACTATCTACTTCTAATGGGTCTCTCCAATGTAGTAACCAAGGCTCCCAGACCTTAAGGTAATGCTCTCTCTTCCCTTGGACCGACCAATGGATTTCTTCATCTCCATCATTTTCTCAACTCTCTGGACCCATTGTTCTCTGGTCTGTACAAGGGGCTTACGCCATTGCACCGGGATCAGAGCATTTGCTTTGTCCAATAAAAGGTTCAGCAATTGCTGTTTGTGTTTCTTGGGGAAATAAGAGGGTCAACCCAGCAATATCTGGGACAGGGTTAACTGCGTAGACATAGGTAAGATCTTATCTTAAGATGTCTGCTAGGACGTGCTGCCAAAATAATCTGGTGTGCGTACATTGCCACCAGATGTGTTCCATATCTCCCTTCTCGGCATTGCACCTCCAACATTGATCACTATTTGTGCAGTTGTGTTGGGGTAATGTACCATCTAGTGACTCTTTTAAAAAATGATTCCTTTCTGGAAATGCTCACTGGGGATTCCATCACCATTTTAAGGACGTATGAACAATCCCTATCAGTCAAGTGAATATGAAGTTCCTGCATCCACTTCCTTAGGAAGGAGGGCACCTGCCCATTCGTGGTTCCTCTCTGCATTTATGTATTTCCCCTGGACCACACAGTAGCTCAAATTGAGTTTTATCCCTCGGTTGCCAATGTGGTAACACTGAGTAGTTTATGAAAAATCTTAATTGAGAAACTCACATTATATCTAAAAGTGTCACCCTTCTATTCGGTTGGATAAAATCCCTTATCTTTGGAGGGA